TTTCTTTCTCTCAATATAATTGATTGTCTGAATTTGCAGCTTCCCACATCTGCAGATTCAAATGAACATCAGATAAAAAACATTCTAAATCAAACTGAATCTTTACTGAACTTGTACAAGCTCTTCTTGTATTACTCCCTAAACAGTACATTATGACAACTATTCACACATTTTATTATATTGGATCTCATAAGTCAGAAATGATTCATGTATACAGGATAGGCATAGTTTATTGAAGCAACTATACCACTTTGTATTAGAGATTTATTCAGGTAGTTTTGGTGCTCAAGGAAGATTCTAGAAGTACCCTGCCCCCAAATACCAAGGGATTATTGTATTCTCTTTTTATTCTTTCAGATTTTAGCTTACTAGGCACCTGTGATGGGTAAGTTTGTCAACAAAGTTGGATTCAGGAATCCTAGGGCATCAGTGAAGCATACCTTTGGGTGTTTCAGTGAGATTGTTTGAGAGGATTAGCTGCAGGGCAGAAGATCTACCTTGGATGTGGGCAGCATCATTGCTTGAGCTAGGGTTCTTAATGGAGTAAATAGAGGAAAAAATGAGAACGCCAGCTGAGTAGGGGCCAAGCCTTTCTCTGCCTCCTGATCGTGCCATGTACCAAGTCACTTCAGTCCCAAGCCTTCCCTGCCATGATGGACTGGACCCTCTCAATCCTTAAGCCAAAACAAACCCTCCCTCCCATATATTACTTTTGATCAGTATTTAGTCAGAGCAACAACCAAAAAGTAAGGATTGTTGCACCTCTTCTTGCTATTGGTAAAATTGCTCCTTTACTAACAAATAACTTGGATAAATGGACACCCTAAACTTTAGTTTTGTAATCTGCAAAGTGGGTAGGAGCTCAAGCTTGGGGTTGTGAGAACAATATTAATTGACTCAGCTAAAGCGACATTAACTGACTTAGCCCAGCACCCAGTATTTAGGACATAATATGTACTTAATGAATGTCAAATGTTATAATTTGATGAGCAACACTTGTGGCATTGAAGACAGTAAAGGGCCATTACAATAAACACACAAACTTCACATTTTCCAATAGTAGATTTTGGAATCTTACCTGCTAAATTGTCATGATCTGTGGCCAACTTGACATATAGTTTTTCCAGTAAAAATAAGGAGGATTTGTTGGTTGCATTATTTGTTGGAAAACTCCAAGTCCTTGTCAAATAAATATCTCTTCTTTTTGGGGAATTTAAAAAATATTGCCTAATGTTCATGTCAGCAATAATTTGACATCTCAGTGTTCAAATAGATTGTATAAAAATATAATATTTACATTGCATGTAAATAGATTTAAAATTTTTTTAGATTTATTTTATCTTCTGTGTATAAATGCTTTGCCCGTGTGAATGTATATGTACCATGTGTTTGTCTGATGCCCATAGAAGTCAGAAGAGGGTTTCAGATCCCCTGGAACTGGAGCTATAGATGGCTGTAAACCATCATGTGGGTGTTGGGATTTGAATCCAGGTCCTCTGTAAGAGCAATAAGGGCTCTTAACCACTGAGCCATCTCTCCAGCCCCGTAAATATATTTAATACAATTTATTACATATAATAAAGTAATATATTTATAACATTTGAATATATCTTTAGCATTGTATATAATATGTGTTGGGCCTGATGGTACACTTGTAATCAGAGCTTCTTGGGAGATTAAGAAAGAAGAAGAAACTTCAAGGCCAGGACTAGCAAGGTACCTGTTGCCAAGCCTGGTGACCAGGTTTAATCCCTGGAGCCCACATGGTAGAAGTAGAGAACTGACTTCTGCAAGTTGCCCTCTGATCACCACATATATACTGTGGCATGCACGCATGAAGGAAAGATGAAAGAAGGAAGGAAGGAAAGAGAGGGAGGGTGTGTGTGTGTGTGTGTGTGTGTGTGTGTGTGTGAGAGAGAGAGAGAGAGAGAGAGAGAGAGAGAGAGAGAGAGAGAGAGAGAGAGAGCGCCAGCCTGGTCAAGTTGGCAAGATCTCACACACACACACACACACACACACACACACATCCTGATGGAGGTAAGCTCCCTGAATTCATCGCTACTTCATTTACCTATTAACTCTGTTAAAGGTCCATTGACTTCATGGGGTTGGTTTTTGTTGTTTCTCTCTCAATCCCACAAAAATGCAATGTGATATCCAACGTAGCTTCATCTCTTTCCAGATCCCCTAGAGCACTGTGCCTGGGGCGTTGGCTGGATCCCCAGGCCCCACTCTTGACTTCAGGCCAAGCATCCTAGCACCTGTCAGATGTTCTGTTCAAAAGCAAATACTTTTAGACATAAGATGAAGTGAAATCTCGGAGACTCTCGTTTAAGACTTCCTTCAGGCCAATAGGAGGAGCAGGGGTGAAACATGGCTGCAAAGAACAACATGAAATGAACACTTTGCTGTGCGTTTGCTGAGTCCAGGGGCCACCAGGAGCTGACTGCCCCAGGTAGATTTCTGCCCCCATCCAGTGGGATAGGCTCTTTAAAGAGAAGCTATTTAAAGAAAAACTTGGTTTCCTTATAAATTAAACCAAACAACAGGGAAACAGAGAGACCTTTCTTTAAAAATGTTTTCTTGTTATTTATTTAAATCATGTGTATGTCTTTGTGTGGTTCTGGGCAATGTTAATGCAGTGTCCTTAGTGGCCAGAAGAGGATTTCAGAATCTCCGGAGCTGTAGTTATAGGTAGTTTTAAATCATCCAGTGCAGATGCTGGGATCTGAACTCAAGTCTTCTACAAAAGAAGAATGCATTCTTAACCGCAGACTATCTCTCCAGCTCCCAGAGAGAATTTTCTAGTTCAAGCCTAATAATTTTGATAAGAAAGGAGGAAAAAAAGTTAAAGATACCCTGAAGAATGAAATTAAACATGCACAAAGTTTAAATGCAATGTGGGATTCTAGGCTGGATCTTGAGATGGCAAGGGGGAAATAAATGATGAGACCTGAATGGCCTGGTGTGCAGTTAGTACTAATGCACCAATATTCATGCCTTAGTTTTACTAAATGTGTACGAGGGTCAGGAGGCCCAGCCAAGCAGGATGCATCTGCGCTGTTTAAAATAAAGTAAGAACAGAACAGAAATAGTGGAGAGCATTGTTACCATAAGTAGCTAGGCAGACATGAGCAAGAACAAGACGGTGCCCTGTATAACTACCCCTTTAGCAGTTAGGTTCATCTTGACCCAATAGACAAAGAATGGGATGTGAGGTAACCAAGGAAACTACAGCTGCATCTTGGTAGCTTTGTTTCCTGATGGTTAAACTGCTCCTTTGTGGACTGACATCTTTGAAACTGCTGTTAGGTCCACCCACTCCCCTTTATTAGAAAATAAGGACACTTTTCCAATGCCCATACAATGCCACAATAAACATCATCCAGATAAACAGGGAAGGAGAAAACACACACACACACACACACACACACACACACACACACACACACACACACACACACACACACACACACACACACACACACACACACACACACACACAATCTGGGGGCATTTTTGAGCCCAGATAGGTACAGTGGAATGAAAAAGAGGTGGTACTCAAGAAGAAAAACAATGACTTCACAAGAGGGAGTGGATCACATGCCACATGGAACTCTTTCGGGGGTTGGAGTTTTAATAAACCAAAAGATTGATTTATTTCAGTTTTATGGGAATGGGTGTTTTGTGTACAATCATATGTGTGCCACATGAAACTCTTTTGGGGAGGGTAGGTTTAATAAACCAAAAGACTGTTTTATTTCAGTTTTATGGGAATGGGTGTTTTGCATACAATCACATGTGTGCGCCACAAGGGATGTGGGGCTCCCTGCAGACTGTTGGAATGGCATTACTAATCTGAGAGAGCAGAAGAGGGCCATAGGCAGAGTAGATTGGAATTTCTAGAAGACAAATCTTCTCAGGCCATCTAGGTAGACACAGTGGACCTTGAGGGCTAAGTAGTAAGATGGTTGGTGAATTTTATAGCCAAACAGCATAGATTTATCTAAAGAGAGCTGGCCTCTGGTGTGGCTTCCCATTATTTCAATTAATGACTCAGAGGAAGCTGGTGTATTACTACAGATTGTGTTTGGCCAATTGCAATGAAACCCAATTAGCTAAACTGAGGCATTTTCTTTTTCGCTTCTCTGCGTTTACTTTTTCTTTCATTAAAAAAACAGTAAGTTGACAAGGAGACGAAAGAAAACAGGTCAAAGCTGGTCAATACTTCACATTCTTCTAAGAACTTCCAAACTCTTTCTTTCTTCATTGTCATCCTATGAGAGGAGTTTTTGTTATCATGGTTGCTTCTCTGGTTGCAAAGGGAGAAAAGGAAGTACTTCTGTCAGCAAAGCGCAAACGTCCTGGGGATTCCCAAGAGAGTTCCTGTTGGCCAGAATTCTGAATCCTTGCTGCAAGAAAGATTAGAAAGTAAAAGTACTGTTGTTTTGTTTTTATTGAGCATAAATAAATTTCAGCTATACTGAGTTGTTGTGTGATATTTTGTTTTCTGACAAATAAAGTTTGCCTGGAGATCAGAGGGTGGAGCTAGCCACTACTAGAAGCTGGATGGTGGCACACACCTTTGGTCCTAGCACTTGGGAGGCTCATACCTTTAATCCCAGCACAACTGGAAGGTGGAGACAGGAATATAAGGGTGGTGGAGATAGGGTCTTGGTCATTCCTTTGGGTCCAAGGATTAAGAGAGGTAAGAACTCTCTAGTGGCTGCTGCTCTGCTTCTCTGATCTTTCAGCTTTTACCCTGATATCTGTCTGACTCCTGGTTTTTATTGATAAGACTAATTAGGATCACACTTCACTAAGTAGATGAGATCTGTCTGGAGGGAAGGAGGTGATGAATAATTAATCAATAATGAGCAATGTCTACCCCAAAATGACACAGTAATTTTTGGATTGTTGACATTCCTCTAATTCTAAGCTTACTCTATTCACATTCCACATCTCAGTGATGGGTATTCCCTCATTCCAGCTCTCAGGTTAGAATCTTGGTGTCAGTCTGGATGACAATCTCTTTGCACATATATCACATCTATTTCCTCATATCTAATCTCAAAATACATCCAGACTCTGACTGCTTCTCAGCATTATTGTGAGAGACTTTTCCTGGAGAGATAGGACACCCTCCATATAGGGAAGATAGAAAGCCACAGATCAAAATTAACATTACACCAACACCAAAGTCCAATTTGGTGAACCAATGAGTTTATTGAGGGTCCTTACAGGAATATGGATGAGAAGCTACTTACAAAAGGCAGGATAGCCAGGCAGTGGTGGAGCATGCCTTTGATCCCAGCACTCGGGAAGCAGAGCCAGGTGGATCTTTGTGAGTTCAAGGCCAGCCTGGTCAACAGAGCAAGATCCAGGACAGGCACCAAAACTACACAGAGAAATCCTGTCTCGAAAAACCAAAAAACAAACAAACAAACAAACAAACAAACAAAAAGGCAGGGTAACTGAAAGGCAGCTGCATCATTGGTGGTGCACCCCTGCATGCATGAGGACTCATGAAAGCTGCAAGCCTGGAGCTCTCGGCACCATTTTCAGGAATCTCAAGTCTCCTCTTGGTGGCTCCACTTCCTCGGGCGGCCCAGCTGGTCAGAGTCTCTTCCTCGAGCAACTGTTCATTGCTTCTGGAACCTTGGGGAGGGGCCCATACAAACTGTTTAGGTTTCAGTTTTCCCAAACATATGACATTTGTTTATTTCCTGAGTCTCATGAGTCTCCCCATCCTGGCTCCTCCTGGATGAAACATTCCAAGTGAGAGGAAATTGTTCTCCAACCAACAACCATTGCTACTACTTTGGTTCAAGCCCCTGTCGTATCTTACTTAATGGCCAGAGGTTGAAAGTTTTCTCCCTAAGGTCAGGAACAGGACAAGAATGCTGGCTCTTACCAGTGCCATTCAACACCACGCTGAAAACTGTCCCCAGTTAGGTTGTTTTTAATCGACACATCAGATACCCAAATCCATTACTGGATGGGCAGAATTTGATTTGTTCATATTTAATAATATGAAGGGCAGTCACCACCATGTAACAATGGTCAAGGATAGCCCACATACATAATTCCATAAGATCACACTGACGGAACTGAAAAAAAAAAAAACATATTGGCTAGCGATGATCCACGGTAATGTAACACCGTGCATCCCTGCATGTCTAGAGATGCTGGCATCAACTCATGTGCTGTACCATCAGTTCTATAAAGTACAGCATATAGATAGATAGATAGTACATAGCACTTAGTAAATGCCAATGCCCCTTCTTTGCTTATTTACTATGGCATACTTTTTATGGTTAATTCAGAGTATACTCACTCTATTTACATTAGAAATGTTTCCAGTATGGCATTCTGCCGTGGTACCCTGCATGCCATATCTTCCCAGTCTCTTGATTGCATCATTGGCTCTCATGCTTGATTTAGTCTTGTGTTTTGTTGTCCATCGTAGCCGGAATAGAATAGGCTGTATACTGTACAGCCCAGGTATATATGTCATTCTGTTGGATGAAAATGATCTCGATGTCACACAAAGAAATGCACAAAGTGAAAGTAGCTAGCAAGGTCATTTCTTTTTGTAAAAAGGGTACCCCAGAAACCAAACCAGTCTAGCAAGCATACATGGCCAAAGTGGCCTCTGTTTCTTATCCCTAATGCAGGTAGTGACTGTGTTTCAACCCATTGGTGGGAGTTTGACCTCACATTCTGACATGGTTGGTTAATTGGTATGAAGGGGAAGGGTGTGATAGAAAGTCTCAGGAATGTATAGGAATTGGGCAAATAGCCCTGTCACAAGATGGGAGAAGCTCATGGAATATTGACCCTTGGAGCACTAACTATCATTGATAGAAAAAATATTTCTTGCAGCCTCATCTTCTCAGTTTTCACAAATATACTGTACAATGTTTGCACAATGATAGAATTACCCAATGGTCCATTTCTTAGAATGTGTCTGTGTGACATGTAACTGGATTAGGAGTTGCCACAACAGATGAATCCAAAATAATTATGTGAAGAGCACAACAGACACAAAAATCCATGTATTATATGATCCCATGAATATGAGCTATCCAGAATAAGCAAATCTACAGAGATTAAAAAGTAGAGTAGCAATTACCAGAGGCTGGAGAGGGGAGTGGGGGAATGGAGAGCAATTATGAGAATCCCAGAGGGCACAGACTTCTCCTGGGACAAGGAAATGCACTTGAATTACACAGTGATAAGTGCACAACTTTGTGATTATACTAACAAAGCACTGATTTATATATATATATATGAACAAAATCCAAAACTCACAAGTAAACTTTTCCAATACCCTTCCCTAAGTTTCTGGTGGATATGTTCACTTACTAAATAATAATACCCTTTATAAAATGTGCATCAATTGTATCTCAGTAAAGCTTTTTTACGACAAGAGTAAGGACCCAAATCTTAGCCAGATAAGAGAAATTCTCAGAAAAGAGGATGGAGTTGAAGACTGGTCTAAATAACATCTATGTGTCTTACCAGTCTTTTTTTTTTTTTTTCGGAGCTGAGGACTGAACCCAGGGCCTTGTGCTTGCTAGGCAAGTGCTCTACCATTGAGCTAAATCCCCAACCCCCTTACCAGTCTTAAGGAGCACATAAACTTACATAATTAAAAGTGTTTACATGAAACAAATCAAATAAAAATAGTTTTCTTAGGTTTTTTTAATTTTTTTTAATGATTCTAGGAATATAACTCAGGACCTCACTCCTACCAGGCAAGCACTTTACCACAGAGCTTTATCCCCAACCATTTTTTTTTAAACCATCATTTCCATAATGAATTCCTATGCATTCCTTAATGTCTAGGAACTCTGGAGATAATGTGCCATGCTGGGCATCCTAGATTCTGAGTTCTGCTTCACTTCAAGTTTTAGTCTTTGTGGGAGAAATTCAGCAATGTTTTAGTCAGATGGGGGAGAGAATGGACATATTGAGGGGCTGTATATGCTAATTAACTTACATCAGTTATCCCACATTTATGTGTATACCACAACATCACTTTGTATCTTACAAATACATACAACTGTAACTTGTCAATATTCAATTAATTTGTTTAAGAAGATTTATTTTTGATTGTGTGTGTGTGTGTGTGTGTGTGTGTGTTATGTGTGTGTATACAGACATGTGTGTGCAGATACCCACAGACTCCAGAAGAAGGCGTGGGATCTACTGGAGCTGGAGCTCCAGGCAGTTGAGAGCTGCCGGGAACAGAACTTGGTCACTCTGCAAAGACAGTTCATGCCCTTGACTTCTGAACCTTCTCTCCAGATCCTCGATAAAAATTTAAAACCAAAGTGCGAAACTCCAGCTCTTAGGAAAGCTTTAGCTCTAGTCTCTGTCTATAACTGACACTTAAAAGCCCAGATGGCAAGGGTAATGTCTGACTGCACAGGGAGGCACTTCTGCAGAGCCTCCGGAGGGGAGTCTCATTACGTTGCCAGAGTGTGAAGAATCTACCCACTGTGATTCTGAAACCAGAGTAGCAAATGTTTTGACAGAAAAAACTAACTCTTGGCAGATAATTGAAATCCTGTCCAGGATCTAGTATTCTGTGTAGATTCTTGTGCAATGTCACTCATGTCCCTCTGAAATTCTAACGGAGGTAACAGCATGTGTTATTGTATTTCACTAAAAGCTGCAGGAAGTACCCCATGCCATGCAGATTAAGACAGTGGATACAACAGACTATTTGTGTAATAGTGTTGAGAGCAGACATACTCCAGGGGTCAGAAAGATTTCTTATAAATTCCAGCTTCCCTTAGACAAATAAGTTTAAAGTCGATTTTCTCATCTGTGAAAACTGGTATGGACTGGCTATTTCTCAGGCAGTTAGTGGGTAAGTGATCCATTTGGCCTCCACCTCTGGGCGTTCAGCATAGATGACCAATAGATCACAGAGAGCCTTTCCTTGTCACCATAACAACTTTTTACATGGTATTTTTAGATGAGTTAAAGTATACATGCACAGGTTATATGCAAATGTTATACCAGCTCAAGTAAGACATTTAAGAGTACACCATTTTTGCCATCCTGGAACAATCCTCCATAGATACTGAGAAAGACTGTGTAATAGTAGCAACTAAGGAAAAGACTCCAGATTGTTACACAGTTTGTAAGAGTATCTATCAATGACAAACCAACACAGAACAAATGTTCAGTCTTTTCCTCATGGGCACCTCTGTCTTCTCTTGTTTCTGTTCTTTATTCAAAGATTTCCCAGACTCCCTCATTCTGAGCCAGATCTGCAGGCACTAGTTGACCAGGAAGTTCTTTTGAGTCAGTAGAATTGCTTCACCCTGGAAGGTGACTTCATAGATGAGTTTGAGCAGCTTGGATAAACAACAAAATTTCCCCTATCCTAGGTGGGTAAACTCCAAAAGCACCAGTGTTTGCTTAGAATCATTTCATTGCCAGCTCCACACAATGTAGAGTGACTAGGAAGATGTCTCAGTGAGGGATTGTCTAGATAAAGTTGGTCTGTGGGAACACCTGTGAAGAATTGTCTTGATTAATGTGGGAAGACCCAGTATACTTTGGGTGGCACCATTCCCTATGTTTTGCTCCAGGACTATATAAGGGTGAAGAAGGTGAGCTAAGCACTAGATGCATTTATTTCTCTCTGCCCTTGACTATGCATCTGATGTGACTCGTTGTTTTAAAATCCTACCACCTTGACTTCCCTGTAATAATAGACTGTAATCTGGAATTGTGAGCTAAAATGAGCCCTTTCTCCCCTAAATTGCTTTGATCATTTTTTTTTTTTTTTTTTTTTTTTTTTTTTTTTTTTTTTTTTTGGTTTTTCGAGACAGGGTTTCTCTGTGTAGCTTTGCGCCTTTCCTGGAACTCGCTTTGGAGACCAGGCTGGCCTCGAACTCACAGAGATCCGCCTGGCTCTGCCTCCCGAGTGCTGGGATTAAAGGCGTGCGCCACCACCGCCCAGCTTGCTTTGATCATTTTATCACAGCAATGGGAAACAAAACTAGGACAATTCCTCTACTATGAAAGTGTTCCTTGAGTATCAGCACTGTCATAACATCATGGGAGGTCCGATAGTTGAAATGGCTATTGAGTGACTAATGGATGGGTAGTGTATACAGTGTGGATACACTGGACAAAAGGACAATTCACATCTTGGGCAGGATGGAGTGAGATAACATGAGGTTTAATCATACTACTCAGAATGGTGTGCAATGTAAAAATAGTGAATTGTTTCATTGTGTGTATTATTTTCAGAGCCTAGTAACAGAAATGGAAACGGTAATGATGCATCAGGTGAGATTAATGCAGTTTCTACTAAGAATGCTCTCTTTATAACAAGACTGCCAGTCCCTGCTCCCCACATTTCAGTCTCTGTCTTGTTCCAGTCCTAACTCAATCCCTATAGGGGGGAAAATATGGGTCATCTCTTTCACAGAGATCTGTAATGTGGTGGTATTGTGTTCCCCGAAATATTGTGCACCCTAATAAACTTATCTGGGGTCAGAGACAGAGCAGCCACAATATTAAACATAGAGGATAGGCAGTGGTAGCACACGCCTTTAATCCTAGCATTTCAGAGGCAGAAATCCATGTGTTCAAGGATACAGCCAAGCATGGTGACTCACGCCTTTAATCCCAGAAAGTGAGCCTTTAATCCCAGGGAGTGATGGTAGAAAGCAGAAAGGTATATAAGGCGTGAGGACCAGAAACTAGAAGCATTTGGCTGGTTAAGCTTTCAGGCTTCTAGCAGCAGTTCAGCTGAGAGCCATTGGGATGAGGACACAGAAGCTTCCAGTCTGAGGAAACAAGATCAGCAGAGAAGTTGGCCAGGTGAGGTTAGCTGTGGCTTGTTCTGTCTCTCTGATCTTCCAGTGTTCACCCCAATACTTGGCTCCAGGTTTGTTTTATTAATAAAGACTCTTTAAGATTCATGCTACACTGTAATCCAGTCCTGCTTCCTTGAGTCTGTGACACTTGGTTCAACAATGTGCCCCGTGAGCCCATGAGCCCCTAAATGTAGCTAACCTCCCACTGGCAATGAGTCTAGAAATGCTGGAGGCAGATGTGACAGGACATGGCAGTCAATGGCTGCAATGCCTGCCTGATTCCTACTCTCCACTTCTTCCCTAATCTGAACTTTAATTTCTATTTCCAATCATCCAATGCTTTTATGTAGAAACAGCTATTTGTTTTCTATTTAGATACTGCATTCTGTGGCCATGCTCATCTCACTGATTAGTTCTAGTAGCTTTTCTATGGACTACTTGGGATTTCCTATGTAGACAGTCAAATCACCTGAAAACAGAACAACTTTATTCCTCTTTTCTTCTTTAGATGCCTTTAATTTTACTTTCCTGCCTTATTCAGTAGTACAGTACAATGTTGAGTAGGAGAAGTAAGATCAGACATTCTTGTCTTGTTTGGGGGACAAAAAACCATTTAGTCTTTGATCATTATGTATAATATGAACAAATGATCTGTTTGTTGGATTTCT